ACTACTACTACTACTACGACTACTACTACTACGACTACTGCTACTACTACTACTACTACTACTACTACTACTACTACTACGACTACTACTACTACTACTACTACTACTACTACTACGACGACTACTACTACTACTACTACTACTACCACTACTACCACTACTACCACCACTACTACTACTACTGCTACTACTACTACTACTACGACGACGACTACTACTACTACTACCCACTACGGGTTGGGGGGGGGGCATAACGGCAGCCCGCGTTTCTACGATTCTCAGGTTGCTGAAGATGATGACTGCGATGATGAAGTTGAGCTTTGGGATCTCGATGGCGCAGATGATGACGACACAGACTATGTTTGCTACCTCGGGCTCTCAGATACGGGCGCACTCTGGCCTGGTGCGCAGCTACTGTCAGTCGAGCGAGAATGGAAACGCATCCACTCTTTATAAGCTAGCCCACCGGGCCCCCGCGTCCGCTGGCGGGACCGAGTTCACGCAATGGCAAAAATGCGCAGACCTTTGGAGAGAGGCACGTAGTAGTACTTCTCATCCATCAGCGCGTGGCCCATGCTGAGGTAGCAGCGCGCCTGGTATTCGTTAATCGCGTAGCGCCACTTCACGCGGTCCTTGTAGTTCGGGAGCTTGCCGCCATACTCGGACTTCAACCACCTCTTCAGGATGCCCCACTTGCTCTCGATGGCGTTGGCGGTGAATCCTTTGGCGTTGACGATCCCGCCATCATCGTGATTCACTACCTCGTGGCGCAGGGCGCTCTGCGTGAGCCCCTCCTGGCGGCGAATGACCTTCACGGATGATATGGCCGCGCCCCATTTGTCCGACACAAAGATGCCGCCCTTGCCGAAGTTGAGCATGTTAAGGTTGTCCAGCATCTCCTCGTGCCCGCGGGGCTTGCCGTCCTTCGCGTCCGCGGGGCGCTCCAAGATGCGGAACATGAAATGCGCGCGGGCTTCCCCCTGCAGCACGGCGCCCCATATCCAGATCTGGTCCTTCTTGGGGCGCGCCGCCTTGTTCAACTTCCCTGGCTTGTTTACGTTCAGGAAGGATTCGCCTGCAACGTGTGGATGTTCAGCAGCAAGTTCGAACTCGAAGTTTCAGGGGCATCCGCTGGGTTCTCCCACGGGGCAGTCGCGCCGACCATATCGGCCACGAACGCCTGCACTCTCTTGAGCTGGTGCTCTGACGGCTGCGACATATACCCCCGCACCCTGTCGATGCCGCACTTGTTCAAGAAAGGAAACAACTCGTCGTGCAAGTAAATGTATCTCCCCATAGGCGACGTGAACAACTCAAACACGGTTGGGTCGTCTTGGAACCGCTTCTCCAGGACATTCACCTTCGCAGGGTTTGCCTCGAAAGTGGCGAAGTAGTCCACTACCCTCGACCGCCTAGTCATTGAGTCCAGTTTGCTCGTGTGGGGGGCATTCACGTGCGGAGCTTCGTTGCACTCCCAATTGAAAGCAGTGGTCCGCAAGTTGACCATGAGCGTGACCTCGCCGTAGTTCGGCCTCACGGGGAACTCTCCGCCCGAGAACGTGTTCTTCAGTAATTCGCTACGCACCACCGCCGTCGTGGACGCCTCCTGCATGGCAGCGGCTCGGCAGAACGCAAAGTTGATGCCCTGCTTGCGGTGCTCCTCCTCGAAGCACGTGGAGGGGATGTACTTGTGGGTGTCCGAGAAGACGTTGTGGCGGAGGGCTGAGATCGAAGATTTGGAATTGCCGCCGCTCCCTGTGTGGCACAAGCAAACGTGTGTATCTTGCTTCCCCAGAAGGCCGAGAATGTCGCTGGCGTAGACCATGCGACGGCCCTCGGGGTCCCCCGCGAACGCAGTCGTCAATGCCATCTTGAACTTCTTCCGCTCGTCCTCGGGCGGTTTGTAGGTCAAGTGGTTGCCCGGCTTGCATTTCATGTGGGTGTAGCAATTGTTGCCCGCGGACTTCTGGATGCACTGCATGCTACCAGCTTCAGGCGCGTTCCCCGTGGGCGTGGAGATCTTGGCGCATGCATTGGTAAAGCATAGTATAACGTGCTCCGTGACTGAGCGGTCCTGCTGGTAGAATTCGGCATACGCCTTCAACGCGCCAGGCCCCTTCGCGGCATTCACGAAGCGCCAGGGCATGTTGGAGAGCGAGTACGCCGCTGCCGTTGCCCAGTGCTTCGCGCTGCGTAGTTCGAAATCTTCCACGGGGGCGAAGTTCGCCCACTGCTGGAAGTTCCTCAAGAAGGGAATGACGCTCCCCCACGTTCGTTCCACCTCTGCTTTCGCTGCCTCGCTCAACACAAATTTAGCCGCCGTCATCGCCTGCTCCATGCGGATGACAAGGTGCTGAGGCATCGAATCGACGGCGAGCCAAACCCCGTCGTCCAGCTCGCACGCGGCGTCGGGGCGAGCGCGAAGCTCCCTGCCGCAGATCAAGCCGACAACGCGCGCGAGGAGGAAGTCACTCTTTGGGTCCCAGGTCATGCCCAAGTCGACGCAGGGGGCGACGATGGCCAAAGCATCCTTCTTCACGATGTCCATGCCCGCCCAATCGTCCCCAAAGTCAGTTGCAAGCCTGTTCGAGAGCCGCTTCGTCCCCTCCAGGAGAGTAGCCTTCGGCCTCGCCTCCGTCTCCTCCATCTGGAACTTTACGTGGCTGGCGTCAAACTCATCCAGTTCGTCGTCCTTCCACAT